TGTTTAAACAAGAGGTAACCAAAAGCTAAATATGTTGATTAAAATATTTCCACACTTACTTAGATATAAAATGAGGCCACTCATTTTAAACATCAGTAATTTCACTCTAATTTCCATAGCATTTATTTTTAAAGTTTATTTAATATATAAAGTTAATTTTAAAAAAATAGAATAATTTGATCTCTATGTACTTGCTTATGGAATGTTATAAAGAAGATGAAAACTGGTTTTAATTTTGCTTTTGTAGTGTTACCTTATTCAATGTTATTGATGAGGCTCTATTTCAAAATAGGAATGCAAATACAGCCCATTTAAATGTTACTTCTCCATTTACAAGGTCGTCCATCCTAAATCTGTCCATCCATCCATGCATGCATCCCTCCAAGTACTTAGACCTGCTGCTGCAGACATGCAAAGCCCTGGGTTCAGTTCCTCAGAACACACCAAACCAAAACTCGCATCTGCTCAGGTCCAGCCCCGGGTGAGGACAGGGCCTGAAGCAGGTTCGGTGCAAGAGGCCAGGGAGGCGTGAGTCTTGAATGGGAGTGTGGAGGGGGAAAGTTTTGCACCTGACTGCCTGGCAGTCAGAGTACTTCTTTATTTCTACAGAACTCAGTCACCAGGAATAGATGTGTATCTGTTGCAAAACAGATCATATAATTTTCATCCCTGGGCTGTGTTTTGTTTGTTGTTTTTCGTTTGTTTTGTTTTGTTTTTCTGTGTAGCCTTGGCTGTCCTGGACTCATAGAGATCCACCTGCCTCTGCCGCTCCCCCTAGTTCTGAGATAATAGACAGGCATCACTGTGCCTGGCCTCAGGCATGTGTTTTAATTTTCTCTGGTCTTAAGTTTAGTCATCATTGATAAACCATGACAGAACAGAATTATCTTTTACTGACATTTTTCTTCATCAACCCTATAACCCAACTTTCAGGAATCTTGCAGTTTCAAGGGCATTGGACAGAAAGAAAATCTCCAAGTCATCCGGGACAGGATGTCATTTCCCAAGCAGTGTATTATCAACTTTTAATGGTCAGAGTGCTATTTGTCCTTAGGCCCAAGAAAAATATTCAAGCCAAAGCTACTGCAGTTATTATTCAATTTCTGCCATAACACAATATTTTATATATTTGTAGAATTTATGAATATGTCTAATTTTGGTATTCTTTGTTCCTTCGTCATACGACAGCACAGTGGCCCTGCATGCACTAACTTTTCTAGGAATAGGAAGGTCTTAGTGCTTTATTCTTTTATCATTTATCTATGCCATTCTTTGTCTGTCAGCAGTAGGAAGAGGATTTTAATTTGATCTGCTGCTCTCCTCACTAGCCCACTGCACTTGTTTACTGTCTTAAGTTTACTGTGTTCTGATTATCTTGTTCCTGAGTAAGTACAGGAGCAGATGTGCCAAGAGTGTCTTGCAGTGAGAGCCTCATAAGGAGGTCTCTGGCATCTTTACTTGAGTCACAATCTCCAGGGCATAAGGAAGACCTTACAGGCTAGATAAGGAGATCTCCCTAAAAGTGCGAGGGGTAGTATGCTCAGGACTTTCCTGGGGAAACTCAGAAGCAGTACTCCAGGGAGACAGTGTCAATGATTCATAAGAAATTTCGCATCAATCCAATACCCCCAAGTTGTGCAAATAATAAAAGTCACACAAGCGTGCAACATGTGGAGGAGATCAAGGCCAAAAATTGGGAGACCACATGACAGCAATTACATCACTTGGCTCAGTTTTGCTGGATCTTTGTCAAGCAACTGTTCTGGCTTTATGACGTTCACTGTTCTCATTACATTTGGCTGTGCCAAGCATCTGCTCTTTACCCAGGAGTATGTTAGATCTATAGATATACAAGTATGAACAGTGTCAGATATAGGGCAAGGCTATGTTCTTAATAGGCCTAAAATTTATTCCAAAAAGTTGAGGTAAAGATATACGCATGTTTACGATCTTTTTAGAACTTTTGGATATATGATTTTGTATAGTTCTTTGGTCTGTACTGTAAGTCATTAGTTTTTTCCATTTGTGACTGTCATTTGACGCTATATTTCACCAAAAACGTATACCCAAGAGGAAACACTAACACACACTGATGGCTTGCAAACCTTTTTCAGTGTTCCCCAATACTTTTGTATATGCCTGTCTTCCAACAGCCTTCCTTACTTGCCCAGTTAGCAAACATCTATTCATCTTTTACCATCATCTGTCTGTGAGGATTTTTCAGAGTACTGGGAGAATTTCTCCTCCCAGAATCAACACCTTTTTCCTCTGTATCATTTCATTACTTAGGTATGTATTTTTATTATTGCACTGATGTATACATCCATCAACAGATCACTCATTATTTCAGTTTAGACTGAAATTTCTGTGGGGATAGACACATTTGTATTTCCACTTTTTCTTCCTTATTAATTAGCAGAATGTTTGGAATGCACAGACCTTCACTAAATACTTGCTGAACTGAAGAGCAATTCTTTCTATTGTAACTTGTTCAGTGTTGCAGAAATACATTTACATATGTGTTAAAATTACCTTGTAATTAGATGTAAATACATTTCTGAATGTTTAGAAAGCATTATATTTTGTTTTATTAAATTCTTATCCAATAGAGAAAATTACTCTCCTTCTGAAGGCTCAATAAAATTATGCAACATAGTCCTCTGTAAAATTTTTGTTGTTGTTGTTAACTGAAGTTAGGATGCAATATAAAGAGAAGAATAAAATTTAAAAAAAAATCTTGTTTACTTCCCCACTCTCGTGATTTTGTGCCAACACAAGGGGTATTATAGCCCCATCACATTGCATTCTAGTAGCTCATCAGTGTGTCTAAAGCCCCATTTGGTGTAAACTCCTTGGGAATGAGTCCCACTCATTCCTACCTTTGTAACCCTGTCTTAAGCTTTGCAGTTATTGCAATGAGTGGAAGGAAGGGACTAGAGAAGTGCTTGTTAAATGCACAAAGAGCAGAGTAAGTAGGAGACACCGAGCAGGCTTTGGTTCTTTCCTATCTATTAGGACCTGATGTGTGGTTTTCTTAAATGGTCAAAATGTGCTAAATTCTAAATAAAGCTTTGGCTTTTCAGTGGAATGAGTCTTCCTTCGCCTCTGTGGGTGTAGCAAATTAGAGAATCAAGGATGAGAAGAAAATGACTTGCTGTGCAAACATTCGTATTCCGTTTTCTACTTTCCGTGAGAAGGTTTTTCTAATTGTGAACTGTAAATTCTGGGTTAGATCATAGGAAAGTAATTAGGTCCTTTATTTTGGAAAAAAAAAATGGATCTATCAAATATTTTGCACAAGTTCAAAAGCCCTGGGGATCTTTTCTCTGCTAAGACAATATGAATTCCACAGCTCCCTCATGTTCTAACTGCAGAGTATATGAGTGTTTTTAATTGCGTTATTTAGTGTTTATGTTTTGTTTTGTTTTGGAGGGCAGCATGAAGGTGTAGACACCTTACAAAGTCTTTCTGGATAAACAGTAGTTTTGGACATTAACTCTCGTAGAGCATTATGTACACATTGGCTTTCTAAATTATTGTGTTTTCAAACACAATTGTGTTCTGAACTTCAAAGACTTTTTAAAAGAATATCCTCTCACATCACTCTGCTCTGCCAATTCCTCCCAGATACACTCCACTTCCCTTTACATCTTTAAATACAAAACCAAAAACCACCAAGTCCATTTGTGCTGTCCATGTGCCCTTGGATATGTGTCTGTCCACTGCAGCATGGTTGACCCTCTAGCCCCCCCCCCCATTTATATTTTGAACTTGGTGGGCATGTGTGAGATCATTCAGTAGATCCAGTGTCATTATGTACATTATTCTCTGATAATGAGTGGCACTGAAAAATACACTCACACAGAAATCTTGAACAATGACAAGTGTAAAGAAACCAATAGTTATAAAGCTTTGGCAACCTTAAAAATAAGCAATTTCAAATGACTTTCAATTTTATGTTTTCTCTCCATATACAAGTACCTTCTGAACTCACGGAGATAATTCAGGTCATAAACCTACAATCATAGCAGGGACAGATCTTCTTGTCTAGCACAGTTCTCTGACTTGTGCACCTCACAAGATTCACTTACAATGTTGATACCACAAACTGAATTCGCGTGAAAAAAACAAAAAATGGTGATAGACTGTAATTCTTTGCGGTATAATTAAAATACCTTTAATACTATCTAAAGGACTTTAACAATAATACCACTAAAATTCTTGAATCAGCATCTTATAAACAGATGACCAAATATCATTTTTAATTTTCCTTCCAAAGGCATAATATTTGTAAATATATGTAGTTACAAATATGCGTAATATTTGTAAATTATGGGTCAGGTACGAGAACCACAAATTAGACTGCTTGGTCAGACCTATTTCATTACTTTTTTAAATCTACTCTGAGACTTTTTAGATTTTGTATTTTTCTGTCCTTAACAATATAGGTCTGTATTTCCACGTGAAATCAATTTTGGTAACAATTTAGATAGACACCCAGATAATTGTATATGAGAATTAACATAATAAAAACATATATTATGATGTTGTTTAGGGACATATAAAAAGTAATGTCATTTAAAATTTTTCTCTGAGATATATATGCGCATTTAAATACCTAACTCAAACAATTTAGCATACGAATATTGATAGACTGATACAGGCTTGAAAATATCAGTGGTTGAATGTAAGTAGCAAGGAATAAGATGCTGATCTCATCTCTAAGAAGGAGTTTGAGATAACTCAAAAGATATAGTTTCAAGGGTCTGTCAGAACCAGTGAACAGAGGGGGCAGTCTGTGACATGAGAAAGAGATTGATTCTCCATGTTGTTAATAAATGATTTCAGCTCAAAAATCTAAAGTAGAAAAAGTATGATTTGTCATTTTTCTAATCCAAGTGACATTTGACTTTGGACTTAAAACCAGAAAGGAATCTCCACATTTTGCTTATAGACAAAGAGTTGTTGCAATGCCAATTCCCCAGCTTCGGAGAGCTTACCTGTCTCCATTTTCCCATCCTGTGCAGCAGGTCCATCTGGGATCACACTTTTCACCTGTAGAAACTCATCCGGCTCGTCTCCACCAATGATGGTAAATCCAAAGCCCATGTTGCTCTTTTTGAGGGTGGTGCTGAGGAACGTTCCCTTCAACTGGGATGCATCCCGGGTGAAGAGCGGCTTTTCTACATTGGCCAATACAAGTTAGAAAGGAAAAGGCATTTTTAAGACAGATTATCAGGGCACAGCCGGCCACCGAGCATTTATCCCTGGGTGGATGTGGGAGACTGATATGGAGATGCGAGCAGGTGGCCCTCAGGGCATCCTATAAGTACTGCGCTGTCCCAAGCATCCAGGGAACCAGGACAGGCTGTACGGCTGGAGAACAATGTGTTAGTGTTTGCTCTTTTAAAGTCAGACCTCCTGAGCTTTAAAGGGGCTGTCTCAACTGCCAAGAAAGCCCTCAAATCATGTCTGATTCTTTAACTCGGTAGTTATGAGAGTTCCCCAGGAACAGCAGCATGTGATTGCATGGGGTACAAAATCAAATAGACGGGTTTAAGGACATTACACACGTACAGGTTACACCAACAGAGAAGCCGTGCACTGCGGCGTATATCTAAAGGTTGAAATTGCAGGACAGAGTTAACTTCTGTTTACACTCATGTGCTGTGAGATGTTATAAATACAATCGGATACATCTCTGCTGGCTAGAGAGTGTTTGGTGTAGTCTAACATGCGAGCAAACGGCAAGCCAACGTTTCTTGATAGGGTTGTGAAAGTAAAGGCGAGACATTTTGCAATATGTTGACATACTCAAATCAATGCCCAAATCATCCCGGTAGTACTTGAGCCCGCACAACGGGTTTGCCCACTTTCTGTGATGTGATGAAGGTTTTCAAACTGGGAGTTCTAACTACAGTCCTAAGCACTCTAAATGCTTTAAAAATTATAGTCAGACTAGGAAGAAGAATGAGTTGTTTAAGTTCCACCTGTGATAAACATTTTGGTTTTGCCTGGCTAGCTCAGTTGGTAGATCATGAGGCTTTTAAGTATTTTATTCTAATTACTTTGTTGGCAGGACTCTTGATCCTCCTGCCTCAGCCTCCCATGTGCTAGGATTACAGGAATATACCACCATACTAAGCATTTCATATACTTTTTGATACACATAAGTAGCCAAAGTATAAGTAGTAACTCAGCCACATATTTTGCATGATTCTCTTATTGTTACATTTTTGGTTTCATAGGATAGGTAAACTATCAACGAGTCATGATTGTGTTTTAATTTATCTGTCCATTTACCTATCACATATATTCTTATTAAAATCTTCTTTTAAATGTAATTTATAGAACCCACACACAATCTTCTCTGTGGTGTTCACCACAGCAGTGCTTACGGGTGGAGCTCAGCTCCACATGAGTCGTTTACATTCAGAGTGCTGTTTGTATGTGATGTGAACCTCACTACCACAAGTGGAGGCTCTGGACAGCAAAGCCTAGTGTGTGTGTGTGTGTGTGTGTGTGTGTGTGTGTGTGTGGTCAGGCAGAAGGTAAGACAAGTCATTCACACTGCGGGACCTCTCGGGGGCAGTAAGGGGGAAGATGGATTTGGGACTAGGTAATGCCACTGATGAGCTGCCGACTGTCACAAAGGAAAACAAGCCTTATCCTCATGTTTGATTTCCGGAGACTCTCTCCAGTTAATAGTCCTACTATCCGTGTCCCTCCCGGCAACACGTAAAATTCCTATAAGGTATCATCTGCTAGCCTTAGCCTTATCGTAGTTTGTGGTGGCTAAATGTATTAGTTTAAAAATAATGTGAACACCCAGCTAAAGCTACCAGAAGGCTCTAGAGAAGTCAAACTAGTTTTTATCAGCCCCCCCCCCCCCCCCCCCCACAAGCACATCTATCTGGAAGAGAAAACAGTCCTTTGGACAGTGTTTCCCTTGCAACCCTGCACGCTGCCCGATACCGTACCTCGGAAACCTGGGGCCTGCAAGGGCTTTGTTCCAAGTTCTGGGTGGGGCATGTTATGCTGTTGTAGCTTCCTTTTTGCTTCCAGGACAGGGTTTTCAAACTGCGTTCTTCTGTTTATGTGGCTAAAAAAGAAAATTTCAAATTAGGATAGAAGTGGGACAAAGTCATTTAGGAGAACATGTGCGTGGCCCTATGGAGAGCAGGTGATTAAAGACACCTTGTCTGATTGCAGTCAAATGTCTTTACCCAGCATGCATCAGGCTTCCGAGGGGCTGGCCTGTGCACAACACACAGTTCTGCGATAGTTCAGAGCACTCGGTGACTCTGTTAAATGCTGTTATATTTACCATATGCATGAGGTAGCCAAAGGAACCAGACGATGCATGCTTTCTTGCCTACTGTGTTCAATGTGTGCTGTGAGTTTGATGCATTAAAATAAATGACCAACAGATGAACCAAACAGAAAAGAGTTCCGAAAAAATATGTGTTATCTAAGCTTTGTAAAGCTTCAGTGGCAATAGGATAAATGAGAGGTTGAGTTCCCTGACAGCGCAGCAGAAACTGATAGTAAAAATAAAATAAAATAAAAACGTGTGAGTGTGCACGTGTGTGTGTGTGTGTGTGTGTAGAGGATGAGTGCACATGTGCATGTGGTACTAGGGAACAACTTGCAGGTGTGGGCATGGTTCTCTCCTTCCAATAGAAGGGCTTTGAGGATCATGCTCAGGTTATAAGCTCTGTTACAGCGCCCTTGCCTGACGAGCCATCTCACTGACCCACAGTTCATCCTCTTAACAGTCAGACCTGCATCGAAAAGCCAGAACTCAGGAGGAAAATTCTCATAGCACTGACAGATGCCTATGCAGGACTTTTCCTGCTGAAAATCCCCTCTACACTGAGATGGAAAACTAGCAGACAGACATGGAGGGACTGGAAGCAGATGTAGCCCAGCCGAGCCCGGGACTTACTGCAACGGGAAAGTATGTCTTCCTATATAACAGGTAGTTTAAGGTTCAGAGAGCTGGAAACAGCCCTGCCTACTGGTGGTGGCCACTCCAGACACAGATGCCCCAGGAGAGGGCTGAGTGTGGAGTGGCCTTTGTTTCATGGATTCCCTGAAAGTATGAAGAGGAGAGAGGTTAGAAGAGGAGCTGACAGCTAACTTCATGCTACTCTATCACACTCAAATATACTATATGATATATATTGTACTGTACCATACTCAAGTTGTGCCATAGATGACTTAGAGTGTTCTCATTTAAAGGTGATGAGATAGGTCCACAGACAGGATGAGTGACTTGTTCTAGAGAGACCACATGCCAAGCATGGTGAAATTCTAGAAGTTAATCATCATATCTATTTCTACAGTAGATTTCTTATCCACATGCTTTCTCTTTCCAATATGTGATTTCAAATTGGCAAGTACATATAGTTAACATGCCTGTTCGTGCTCTCTCTCTCTGTTTCTCTCTTTCTCTCTCATACAGAGACACACACAGATACACACATATAGACACACACACAAGCTCCATCCTTTATACTTTTTAAAACTACTTTTTAAAAAGAGAGGAGATAAAATAAAACCTCACTACTTTTTTAAAATCTTATTTTATTTTATTAATTACACTTTATTCACTTTGTATCCCCCCATGAGCCCCTCTCTCCTCCCCTCCTGGTCCCACCCTCCCTTCCCTTTCTTCACGCATGCCCCTCCCCAAGTCCACTGATAGGGGAGGTCTTACTATTTTAAAAAGTATAAATCAGACAGCTGGTGGGGGAGAAGGGTAGTTGGAAAGAATGATGACTGCAGAACATCTAATGAATTTTTTTTGTGTGTGTGGGAGGCACAGCAGATGCCTTCTGCCACAGGGTCTCAGTGTCAACCAGAACTCTGTTCAAATTCTAGCTTCTGGGTAGCCAAATAACCTTTGGCAACTTGTTAAACCTGAGTCTTGGTAATCTACTCTCCAAAATGGGCACCACATTGTCTACTCAAGTAGTTGTGAGGCTTACATGGAGCAGCCAGTATTAGCGTCTCATTTTTAAGTATTGACGTGTTTAAAAATTTCTAGTACATATTATTACTATTGTTCCTACCACCTTAACTACCCCTGTCAACATTTTAATCACCTCCATCTCGGCCACCATGAACGTCTTTGTGGAAGACCTTTACAAGCACTAGAATCTTGCTACCACTGCCTCATTCTCTTTAAAGTAAAAGGTGTGGTTATAGTAACGTTCTTAATAATAATTCTTGTTCTCAACTCTTTGGGCTTCAAAATAACTGTTGGGGGAAAAATCTTCTGGAAGTAACGCTCTGTGCATGGAGGAGCCAGCTCCACTGTAGTGCATGGTGGCCCGCAGCAAGGGAGCATCACAAACCTCTTTGCTCTGGAAACTTAGATGAAGTCTCTGTGCACCAGGAACTGTGGGGTCCTTGCCATCCTCAGGTCATTTTCTGAGCAAAGTCTTTCAAGTCTTCTTGACATGGTCTTGCAGCTTTATCTTTGGCTGTTTTCACAACAGGCATCCTTCGCTTTTGATACAAATTGGGGCAAGTCTAATAGGCAAAACCCATTCAAAGTAGTTGTTTTTTTTTCTAGTGACATTTCAATATTTCCATAGTGTGATGCTTGATCAAATCTTCCATGTTTAAAGTGGCATCTTGGGACCACTTTAGTCATCTTTCTTTAATCATCTGTATCTCTCCTGCTGATAGAACCTCCAATGCCCTGAAGGTGCATGTATCAAAAGCTTGGGTGGTCCTCAGATTTGTGCTATTAGAGAGTGGTAGAAACCTTCAAGAGGTAGGGAATGAGAGGTCCCAGATCATTAGGGGTGTATCCACACAAGGACCTGTGGAACACTGGTGTCTTTCTCTTAGTTCCTGGCTATGAGGAGAACTGGTCTTCTCTACTTCTCTCACTGTGATCTGTTATGTCACCACAGTACAGTTGGTCGCAGAAGGAAGATCCTAAAATTCAGGAAAAATAAACCCTTCTCCTGTAAGTCCCAGACATTTATTATAAAATTGCAAGCTGATTAAATACAACCGTCATCTATACAATGGGGACATTAATGTTTATTTCATGGGGCTGTTGTAGTGATAAGAGCAGACAGTTGGGAAGAACCCTATGACTGTATAGTGCTGTCTTATGTTTCTGGAATAGTTGCTATTACAATTAATATTAATGGTGATACCATTCGTGGCATTATAACGCCTTTCCTATGTACACAGCCCTTTCCCAAGCCCGACACAGAGGCATTTCTAACCAGCATTATTATTCTTCCCATGGATGTTTATTTCAGTTCAAACAGACCCTTTTATTATGTCCCTCAGCAAGAGGATTTGAACAATTTTTAAACAACAACAAGAAAATCAGGGTAAAATTATTTGAATCTACGTGTAAGATAAATAGACAAAATAGATAACACAGGATCCTATTTGTTTACTAGCGTTACATTGTAAATTAGCTTTGAGCTTTCAAACTGCTTATTTAACGGGAGAGAAAATAGCTACTCCCTTTAGAATATTTAAGATAAACCCACATTTAGAAGGACGTGGATTACATCCTTAAGAACTCCTATGATGAAGTCTTCTGGGCATCTCTAGTCAAGTCTTTGCTAAAGAGGTTTCTGTGATGCAGCATTATAGGACCCTAAGTGGTAGTTTCACAGCAGTGAATTTCAAGGTTTCACCAACCTTATTATGATGCTTTAATGATAGGTTGTCATGCTTCTGTCCTTTCTTACATTATGAAACTCTTATGTACAGGGCCTATATGATATCTGCCTTTGTATACTATACTCATGACTATTAGTTAAACACCTACATGATGAGGCTGTTTTTAAATATGTGCAAATGACTTAAAAAAACCAGACATATCTTTGAAATCACCTGACGTATTGAATTTTTCATAGTCTATTTTTTATTTCTGTGTTTCTAGGTTACTATTTATCACACATGCCTAATTTTACTCTTACTTGAATCACCTTGACTTTAAGAGAAATTAATTTTATCTTGACCTTAGTGGACAATTAAGAATTGGACCTTTGAGTCAACATGGAAGATGGAATAGTGACTTTCAAGTGACATTTGTAGACATACAAAATATTTCATTTTGGCTTACATAGTGGCACTGGTTACTTACTACAAGGCATATGGTAGCCAGTGTCGAGAAAAGATCCATTGAGTAGATACTTAGATGGAGTCAGACACAATGAAAACTGATGGATCCTAATGTTTTCTAGTTTCACATGCCCATCAAATACATATTGTGACAGTTGAACTGGACATGAAGTGTAGGGTTGGCTTAAGTGATATAACTCTCATTCATTTGGGTAAATAGTTATGGAATGCTTCAGGCCAGAGAATCTTTCCAGACATGTAAATGATATGGGGGGGGGGGGGAAGAAGCACCACATTTTGGTGGAAAATATTTTTGTTGCTAACTAGGAGAGTTACTTTGTGTCATCATAGGCACATGGATGAACAGGGACGAGACCTGGGGGCTCTAGGAAGACATTCACTCTCCCTCCAGTCCATAAAGACTCGTTTAGCTTCTGCTTTTCAGCTTAAAATTTCCCCCTTCTATGCAAATGTGTCCCTTTATGGATCTCTGAATGTACTTGTAAAGTATGAACTTCTGGAAGCTTAGAATCCCCATGGCTTTCTCTGACCCTCCCTCCTTGAGTCTCCCACTTCTCTGACATTATCTCCTTCCACTTGAGTCCCAAGATGCTACTTTACTGGTCCAAATGCAGATACTGTACCTCTTTGTCTACACGTTATTCATTTTTATGTAAGTCTCTAGAAGAATCCATGGTGTTTTCAAGGCCATTGGGTTTGGATAAAAAGGATAAAAACTATTTCAAAATTAATAAACATTACTTCATGCTTTGAAAGCTAAAGGAGAACAGTAGCACTACAGGGGTCTTCTAGGGTCAGTACTCATCCAAGAAGGCAGGGTAGTGCAATTAAGAGCTTTGTCTGGGGGTGGAGAGATGAGTCATTGGTTGAGCCACCTTGCTGCTTGTATAGAGGACCAGTTTTAGTACCTGCATTGGGTGGCTCACAACCATTTATATAACCTACACTCCAAGGAATCTGACACCCTTTTCT